CCTACAAGCAATTGTAATTTCGAGACCCATTTAAAAATTAAAAATACAATTCAATTATGGAAACATAAAATGTATGCCATAAACTGCATTATACCTTATTGGGTGGTATGAGATCAAAATGATCCCAAACTTTAGAACGTCGCTTATTGGTGGTACTCGCCATGAACCTTGCCAAAATACTCTCACTCTCACTCTCCAAATCTCTATCTCCTCACAACCCCATTTTGAAGCATAATGATGCATCTTATATAGCTGGTATGGCACCAAACCACACAAATCTGTAAAACCTGTCAAGCTGTCATTGGCTCAGAATGCATTGAAACGCCATGAGCGTTGACACACACCGAAAGACTATGAGCCAATGAAAAGCTTCGAAACATTTTGAAGGAATGAAGCGCGAAGCGAAACAGCGATGACGTTCGAAGCTTCGAACGTCATCGCTGTTTCGCTTCGAACGTCATCGGTCACGTGACACCGGTGTTTTGATACAAGCTCTGACACAGCGTTTCGAATCACTCCGCTTCAGGACGAGTGACACAAGCTCCAAAGCCTCGGTATCATTTGCCCATCACTACCAGTTTGTTACTGATCTGGCAATCTAAGTTGGGAGGCATTTGAAATAAATCAACTGCTGGAATGCTACATCTAACAAATGATACAAAATATAATCTAGTTTTATGAAACAAAAAAACATTCATCTAGCAAAAAAATGACAAGCAGGGTCTCAGAAAATTGCAGTTACAGTATTAATCCTGTTTCATTGTTGAATATGATACATGGTGCTGGTGGTCAATTAAGAGCGTCTTTATTTTGAAAGTTATAATAGGAAGTTGTCATTTGCACATGCGCAATGCCATAGTGACAACAAGCTTAAAAAAAGCCGAGTTAGCAAGTGTTAGCTAAAGAAGACGGTCGTTTTCACTCAAAATACTCGTTGAAATGTTTCGGAGAAAACTGACAGCTCTAGATTACCACAACCCCAGTGGATTTGACTGCACAGGTAAGAAAACAAACTAGAGGAGCTCTTGAATTGACTAGAAGAGTTTAACGTGGAGCTGGTGTTCTGACGATTTGTGCTGCCCTGTCGAAAAATGCTACGGGCTCCATTGACTTGCATATCCCTTAAAGATATAACTCACAGCATTGATGTTATTTTTTGTTGTTGGTTTGTAATATACTGCTACTAACGCTTTTATTTGAGAATCTTGGAGTAGCTTTTTTAAAAATTTTTGATAGACCCATGTCCCTATAAAATCGTGCTCCAGGTCCAAGTCTCGATTGCAAGGTTGCGTGGAAAAGAATCTCGAATGTTGCGGTTCTGCGCATGCGCATAACAGCAAAGTAGCACAAATCCATAGGTACCGTGGATCGACAGAACACCTGCTAACACGTATTTGTGTTACACACGTCTTGTTGCTGTATAGACGACCCAGTGCCAAACTATAATAATACGTATGTAGCTGAGATGTGAATGTTCTGTAATACACTGCACGATTCAGCAGAGATTAGAATCAGAATCAGCTTTATTGGCCAGGTGTGACAGACACACGAGGAATTAGCCTCAGATACATCGGCTCTCAATGTGCAAAACAGTAAACCAGCATAAAGCTGTGTAATATAACAAAATAGCAGTATTAACATCAACAAACAGTGCAAACAATGCAGAAAAAGCAGTATAAACAGACAGTAAACAATGCAGACAACAAAGGAACGTTCATTAAAATGAGATAAATAGGGATAAAACAGATTTCTTAAGAACTAGAGACCTGTACAAGTCTCTATAATCTGTACGAGGTATATTTACAGGTATTGCACTGAGGGTTATTGCTCTGCAGCCAGTGGTTTTATTCCTTCAAAGAACCCGGAGTCATTTAATTAATCACTTGCCTCTATAATACGATATCAAATGCCTGTGTAGCTGAAACATGAAGGCATCTCTGCTTTCTGCTCAGATGAGATCCAGTTCAGGAACTGCATCGTGTGGCTGGAGGACCAGAAGATCCGGCATTATAAGATAGAGGATAGGGGCAACCTGAGGAACATCCCCAGCTCAGACTGGCCCACAGCTTACCAGACGGTGAGATACTCAAGTCTCAGTAGTACCACTAAGTTCTAGAAAATACCCAATTAAAACCGGGATAAACAAGATTACAATTAGGAGTCTTGTATTGGCTGGTTGATACTGGAGAACAATTTTTAGATGCATGAGTTATGTTTGAGTTTCTGTTATCTTTGTGCAGTACCTGCAGGATGTGAACTGTCCGTTCGGAGTTCAGGAGAAGCCGGAGGCTTTAGACTGGTTACTGGGCCTGGCTGTACGATATGAATATGGAGACAATGGTAAGGAAGTAGGAATAAAACATTTGCTGCATAAAAATCTATGTATTTCTAATTTTACCGGGAAGTTTGATTGAGATCTATTTTTCGAGGGAGGTGTCTTTATATTTTTTTTACACATACATGAGGGTCAGACTATACGGAACACCTCTGAATATAATGTAGTCCAGTACAACACTGCCTTCAACTGTGCCCTCAATAATAAACATTAAGTTGAATTTATACATTTTGAGCTTTATAAACAGATGTTAAGGTGGAAGTGTTGTATTGAAATGCATACAATTGTACAGGTGTACCTAATAAAGTGGCCCATGAGTGTATAAATGTACAAGTAATAAGTTCCTCTATATCGCAGTACTAACAAAGGCCAGTAGAAGGAGACATTGTAAAAGGAATAATGTTTTCCTGGTGTGACCAAGAGTCTTTTCTTTTGTCATGTTTTAATTGAGCAGTTTAGCTCATAAGCAGTTGGCAGTTAAACCAGTTGTTTCTGCTTATGAGCCTCGTACAAGTCATGTTTTATGTGGCTCTCCTCAGTGGACAAGTACAAGAACTGTCCGCCGCTAGCAGCCTCCAGTAAGAGCGACCGAGCAGTAGATCCTCTGGTCAACCTCGATAGTAAGTAGAAACATGTTCTCACCTCCTGTCTTCTTTACTTTGTTAAATCTCTTTGTTCCAGAGAAAAGATGAAGTCATTTGTTTGTATTTGCAGGTAATTCACCAGATTTCAAAGCAGGAGTTACAGCTCTGGCCAACATCCTCAAGATACAGCGGCATGATGACTATCTGGTTATGCTGAAGGTGAGCGTCAGGCGATACATGCGGTTACAATGGTAAAGGCAATCAGAGTTAAACACAGAAATACGGTAGAGAACCAGCTGGTGGATCTGGTTACAGTGTGGCCAAACAAACTCACAAAGTTTTAAAGTCACTTGATAATAACTGTAAACTGCCACAGTGTGAGTAGCGTTTCACACCATAATAAAATTCGTGTTTGCGTTTCCTTCACAATAAAAACTCCTTGTATCTTCTTGGAATGTGAACTAACAGCAGACACAATTGTTAGGTTAGCAATAGTAACTTAATCCAGCTCTGACAGTGGTAGGAGAGTGAACAGTAAACAATAAAGCTGATATTTATGAGATAAAATTCAGCACAGGAATGGTGGACGCAGCCACTAACAGTGAAAACTAAGGTATAGAGATGTATTACAGGTTGGAAATGCACAGTGGCTACTGCAGAAAAACATTTCAGCCCATAAACGGTATTAAAAACTGAGTTGTACTTTATGAAAATCTTGAAGGATTCTAACTTGCCAGCCTTATAAACTTGCTCAGATGAAAATGGTCATAAATCAATGGGTTTGTGTTTTCATGTGCACCTGTCAGGCCATTCGTATTCTGGTCCAGGAGAGACTTTCTCCAGAAGCCATTGCTAAAGCCAACCAGAATAAGGAGGTAAACTGAAGACATCTTGCATCAAGAATGATATGTGGAATCAGTATTCAGTTCAGCCAGGATAATGGTGTCTCTCAGTTTGACTGCAGTCTCAGTTGTGTTTATTTTCCAGGGTGTTCCAGTCACTTTAGACAAGCACACCTTGGGTTTTGACACTGGAGGTGAGTGCTGCATGTTTTTTTTAAAGATCATAATGTAAATTTGATATATTTTCACATAAAAACAACATATTTTGACACTCAGGAGGGCATTTCTGAGTGCTGTGAACATTATCATCTGTGGAAGTGTAAAATAAATGTCTCCTCTTGTCAGACGCAACTCTGAATGAAGCAGCCCAGATTCTGCGCCTGCTGCACATCGAGGAGCTGAGGGAGCTGCAGACCAAGATCAACGAGGCCATCGTAGCTGTTCAGGCTATTATAGCCGACCCCAAGACAGACTACAGGCTAGGCAAGGTCGGCAGATGAGTGAGGGTGAAGAGAGCCGCTGGAGGAAAGGAAGGACTCAACCACAGGAGGCTGAATTAGATTTTCTAAGGAGAAGTTTTTTTGTTAGTTTAAAGTGGACAAAATGAGTTGGCATTTTTTCCATTGTTGCATGAGATCAGACACAACAAACTGGGAATTTGGCTGCCTTTCATTTTTGTACAGCAGCTTGGATAATTTGACACCAAAACATTTACTGTGTTACAGTAATTGCTGAATAGTTAATACTGAAGTACTCATTTCTGCTCGTATGCTAAATTATTCAATTCTTAAGACTTGGGGGTTGAAAACTGACCCTTTTTTTTTGCAGATTAAGAAATGGTTATCTTGAAAATGTTTACAATGACACTGTGTGGGAAAGTCTATAAATACAGTTGAACAGAGTTTGGCTCCTGTGCTGCTTGTAAGGTGAGAACATTACTCCATTTATAACCCAACAAAACAACAAGCTCCAAAAAGTACCAGGTCACATTTTATTGTTATAAATATCACTCCTTGTAAAAAGATAAAAATTTGAGAAATGGTATTAAAAATGAGGCCAAAGGAATGTAATATTCATTCATCTTCTATACCGCTCAGTCCCAAACGGGGTTGTGGGAGGTATGTAGTGTCATTGCGTGAAATGCAGATTAGCAATACAGAGAAATGTGACTGGCACTCATCACTTACATTAGCCTAGTATAAAGACTGAAAGCAGCAGCAACTGGCTGGCCTGGTTACCTGACAGGAAATAGCAGGCAACTCCCCTTAAAACCACAACTTGATTTATCATTTCAGTTTTTGTACAGATTAAACCAGATATAATGTTAATTACCTTGGTGGAGCCAAACTAGCTGTCTCCCTGCTTCCAGTATTCATGCTACTAAGCTAACGGTCCTCTGGCTCATCTGCTAGTTTCATATTTAGCATAGATGTGAGAGTGGTATCAAACAAACCATCTTACTCAGGAAACAAATGGGTATTTTCCAAAAAGTCAAACTATTCCTTTAACCCTTTGTTTATTTCTTTCCAGAAACCAGTCTAAATGCCAAATAATTAGACTGGTGAAACTGAATTGTAAGCCAGTGTGGCCAGCTTATGCTCAGCTTTACAACTGAACTTTTAAAGCTCTTAATGTTATTTTTCTTTGGCTTTAAAGAACAAAAACCTACATTGACTTGCATTTTAAAATTGGATTTCATCATTCATTGTAGTTTTAATCAATAGAAAACAATACATACAAAAAACTAAAAATGAGGTATAAAACAAATTTACAAAACAATTGGGGTTATATCTTAAAGGTGAGATAGTGGGGCTGGGGTGGGTGGAGGTGTTGTAAATTTGCTCTGATGGTCAAGCTGGCAAGAGGAAGCCATCTTGCTCCCTGCTGACTGACTGTTTCGCTGAGGGACACTGGGGATAGTGATCCTGCCCTCTGGTCAGGAACTGCCCCAGAACTGTAGCACCATAAGGACCCTGCAGCTGCCAGGCTGTTGTTAATGTCTCCCTGTGACACATAAATCACAAAGCTGTAAGACAGAAAGGCTCATTTTCATGACTTGAACACATTTAGGTTTATAGATCCATGTAGAAAGGAAGAGTTAAAGGTCTGGTTTTCTCTTTTTGTGTGAATCCAGCTGAAGGCCTTGGCGCTGCAGAGGCCTAATGACAGAACAAACATCCTGAACAAAGCCCTACACTTAACAATTTGTGGCCACTGAGAATTATCTCTAAAAAGCATGTGTGTATGTATTCAACAATAACAGCTTTTAAGCCTCACCGAGACCTTTAGCAAGTGTGTTTTAGAGCTGTCATCATGGTCACAATTACACCACACATCCACCCCTTTGTAGCAAACAGCTGTTATTCAGACAGAGCCTTTAGAGAGTGTTAGCGGACGCAGTGACATCACATTTACAGCAACACACTAGTGACAGTCATCGGTTCGACAGGCAGATGCACAAACGGAGCTGCGTGCACAAACTCATCTATCATGACCAGATTTTACCTGTGCGTACCTTTGACAACAACATCTGCTACTTTATGGATTATCCTGTTTAGAGGGCTGCTTTGTACTTTAAAGATGTTTAACACAAGGCTTTAGAGGGACGTGAAGCCATCTGCAGATGTCAGCACATCAAACATGACACAGGTAGAAGGTTGGACACAGCTGTGTAATCATGTTTCTTTGGTCTCAAGTACGCACACACAGGTAGAGGTTCACAGACAGCTGTATAATCACTGTTCTTGTGTCTTCTTCATGTACGTCAAGTCACCACATACATGCACACACAGAGGGTCTAAGCCAGCTGTGTGATGATTCTGGGTTCAGGGTGATGAAACAAATGTGGGCTTTACCAGATAAAAAGGTGCATTTCCACCGGCTGAAGAAAAGTTCAGTTTGTTAACCTTCAGAGTGTTCATTTATTTATTTATAGTTCAAGCATATATTTAGCATTTTAGCGGGGGTGTCTTCTAAATATGGTATTTGTCATTTGATTCAAGAATAATTTAAAACAAAAAGAAGAGATCCCCCAGACAGGTTTGTTTCTTGTGTTTCCACTGGACTTGAATGCAGCATTCTCCTCTGCCACATCCCTGCGTAGGGGGACTGTGCTCTCTCTCTGTGTAAATGCTGCCTTCAGGGTTAAAGTGATATTACTGCTCACTAACCTGTGAGCTCACTGTAACACCTTCACGCCCATGAGTGTGTGAGAGTGTTTGGTTATTATAAAAAGTCAAACTGTGTGTGTGTTTGTAAGAAATAGCAACCCAATCACATTCAATCAAAAGTACATCATTTAACATTTGGTTTCTGCAGCGCACAGATCTCACCTGATAGACAGTTGGTGGTTGCTATGGCAATGCCGTACAGGTGAGAGCGCTGCTCAGGCAGGTATTCTTCAGTGATCTGATTGCTAGCTTTGTTCACTGCGATCACGCCATCCCTATGAGGTAGAGGACAGAGAGTACATACTAACCAACTCATTGTTCAGTCATCAGTAATCAGTAAAGAACGTAGCACAATATAGGCCAGACGGTGGTGAAACAAACAACCCAACAGCTGAGGAAAGATGGCTACCTCCTCCAGTCTGTGTAATAGAAATGGTTCCTGTAGTAGACCATGCTGAACGGGTAGTTGAGGTTGGGGTGGATCACTCTCCGCCCCGAACCGTCTGGGTAGACACACTCTAAACGCTTTGTGCCTGAGATAACAAGAAAAATATGGGTCATTATTTTACATGTATTGTTTTACAGACATAAAGCCGATTGCTGGGCCTCCCACTGCATCAAGTTAGCCAACAATGTTCAACACAGAGACAGTGAGCAACCAGCTGCTCCCACTGTTAACAGAAATAACAGCAGCTATAACAGCGCTAACTGTTACACTCCTATAGTACTAGTAGTAGTATAGGAAGCTACAGTGCTAGCAGTCCAGATTATATAGTGGTTAACAGGTGTACAGTATAAATACTAATGGTAGTACTGGTAATGGTAGGTCAGCAAAGACAAGTTACACATGTAACATGAGGAGTCTGTTTAGAGAGATTTTAGTGAGTCAGTCTAGAACTTTATAGTGAGGGGGATATTTAGCCTCCACCCTGAGTGGAGGTTTCACTCTGGAGTGGCAGCACTAGGGATGGTGATACAAGTGGTACCAAAAGTAGCAGCAGTAGTTAACCAACATCCTGCTGACAGTGGTGATACATGATGTAGAAGTAGTGTTTACCTGCATCAGCCCAGCAGATTTGTCCAGCTGAAGAGTCGTACGTGAGAGCGTTGGGCAAACCGATGCCATCAGACACCACCACCCTGCGGTTTTGACCGTTCACTGACGAGCTCTCAATCTTGGGAGCCTCTCTGTTCCAATCTGTCCAATACAGAGTGCTGCAGAGAGAAACAGCAATGAGTAATGACTGAAATTATTGCCCCCATATTCCACTGGCTGGATTTGCATTATAGGTTTTTGCATGGACTTGCTTCAGTGCTGTGATCTGGCTAAGCTAATGAGGACAAGTGAAAAGCACCCACAAGTGTGCATACAACCACACATACACAAGTAGATACACAAGCACACAAGAGTACAGAGCTGTCTCATGCTGATGAGGTCATGGTCAGGTTACTCTAATCTATGCACAACTTTTGACCTCAGTTCCTCCCGTCAATTCTTTGGGGTGTGATTCAGCTGTATACATCAGAATACATGGGCCACACTGGCTCTCACAAATGTTTCCATTGTGAATAAACTAGTTCCTTCATATTTCTCATCAACATGTTTTCATGATACATTGCTACATTTATACTTTGTCTTATTGGCTTTTCATGTGTAGATGATGGTGCCCATAACACATGCCACATGAGCAACCAACTTACACACAGACGCTGTGTGTTTGTGAGTGTTAATCCATTTCACAAATGCATGGGGGAGCAGATGTTGGTGTGTGAGATGTTCATACATGTGTGCATGCTTTTATAATATGTGCACATAACCTCTGTGTGTCTGCTTCAATGTGTGTGTGTGTGTGTGAGAGAGAAAGTCCAGGATTAATATCAGTAAACCCAGTACAGTGTTCTTGGCTCTGTCTGGTGCAACACCCACAGAGAACACACTAAAAGTCCCTTATATGGCTGAATGATCAAACATAAGTTACTAAAGGGACACTCCACTTGCTCTCATTGTCCTGCTAATGGGCTGAGCACCATATGTGTCCTCTTCTGATACAGAATCACTGAGGACACAGTGAAGGCTGTATCTCACTCTGCCTCAGTGGATTGCCTACAGGATGTTGCATGTAATTGTGAAGAGAGTGTGTGGGGGCTTTTTGTTTCTTGCTCAGAGAAGAGATTTGTACGTGTTTGCAAATCCAGACTAAACTGTCCCAATGTTTTACAAGTGGCAGGTTAAATAACCTAAGACTTTTTTGCTATACTTAACAAAAATAAGGATTTTACCCGGTGGAAGAGACCACTATGATGGCCCGGGGGTTGACCAAGTCTGTGTCAAACAGTGTCCGCCTGCCGCTGCCATCTAGGTTGGCGCTTTCAATCATGTCAGGGTTTGAGTCGACCCAGAACATCAACCTACGATTAACGTCCACTGTCAAACCCTCAGGACTGACCAGATCTACAGGGAGCAAGGGGGGACATATGGATCAAACTGAATTCATTCAACACTACATTTATTATTGAAATGAAAGTGTGTGTCCTTACCTGTGTTAATGAGTATCTCAGGCTCAGCTCCAGGTGCCATTGAAGCTCTGTTAATTGTTCTTGCAGACAAGTCTGTCCAATAGACTTGGTTCTCTTTGCAATCATAGGCTATACCAACAACTATAGAGCCCTGGACACACACATAAGCATATGCATAATGAGATCATTCTAACATAACTACAGTCACATCACTAAACCTAGTGGTTTTTCACTTTGTTGATCTAGAAGCAAATTTTTCTTCATGAATTTCCACTAGTATATGATGCATACTATCTATCTTACTAGACAGATAGTTACTAAAATGCAGGTGCATGGTCACAAGCAGCAGATGTCACTCCACAAATCACAGCATATTCACACTTCTGGTGTAGACAGGAAGTTAAAAGAAAACCGTCAGAGCACTTCCTTGTTGCAATGCACAAAATCAATAACACGGTTGCTCTATTCTATTAGAGAGCTGACTGGCTCACAGAATAGGAAATAATGTTGACCTAAAGTCTCTAACGTTTTGTATCCTTCTTACACCTTATTGAAAAATCACAAGAATCATCTATGTGCATAAGAACCAACCAAGAAAACAAACATTATTGTGAAATAAGTGCAAACTGACAGAGTATGTGAATGTGCATCTCCTTATTCATCTCTTACATGCAGGGCCAGCACCGTTTTGGACCGGGTTGCATCTAGTCTGGTCCCGTTGAGAGGCAGCGCTCCTATCTTCTGCCCCTGAGCGTACAGCAGCGTGACATCAGCATGGGTTGGTGGGGTCACATCTGGGCGGGGAAGTGGCCACCTGGTGGGCGGGGCCACTGAGGGAAGGCCTGAGGCACATTTAGACAGGACAAAAGAAAAGTTTCATCCACAATTAATAACACTAATACTAACATAGTACAGTTAAGTCCCATGTAATTTGGATCACAGGTGGAAGGATGCTTACATGAAGGTTTGACAACATCATTTGATTGAGTACCAGGAACCTCACGGCCGTCCTGGTCGACACACCAGCAGTAAGTGGTCTCTCCATAACACTGGACCGGACTGAGAGACAATTCACTTTCTCAAGTATTTAGCCATTATAAAACAATTTCAGCTACTGTTGTATGCGTGTGTGTGTGTGTGTGTGTGTGTGTGAATGACTGGTGTGTACCTGAACTGTCCATCTGGCTCACACTGAGGCATATATTGTTGTGGCTCTGGTTTTCCACCATAATGCTCTATCAAACTGGCCCTCCATCGCTCACACACACTCTCAGGACGCTCGGTTGGAGCCACAGGCACTGAGGGGGAGCACAAATCAAGCAAAATGGTTGCAAAATTTCAATTTAGATTATATTTAGTTGCAATTTATTTAATCATCGATATAATCAGTTTCTAGCATGCTGAGTTTATATGACAGTGATGGGTGCAGTGCTTGATTGATGTTGTGGCAAAGCCCTGTGTTTAAATAGGAATACACATATATACACATCCTGCTTTTCTCAAAGCTGTTTATCTTGTAGAATCCTTTTATTAACTCATTTTATAGGAGAACTTTACAACTGAACCCAAAACCACTTTAGGCTTCCACTAATGTTTATACTGTCCTCCCTTGGTGTGATTTCTGAGAAGACTATTAGGATCATATTTAAAAGGAGGGTGAGAAGTGAGCAGTCCAGTACTAAGAGGCCACAGAAGTAAAGAGAGACAAAGACTAACTAAACAACCAGTCTTGCAATAAGTTTTCCCAGCAGGATTGACGTAGGGGAAATCCAGTTTATGATTTACTTGGTTTTGCTTCCATTTATTCTTTAAACCACATGACCAATTGAATTTAGTAGCTTATGGGTCTCTGATGTCCTTTCCAGAAACTGGCGTCATGTGAAGTGTCCACTAAACCAGCGGTTTCATTTTCAGCCTTCCAAAGACTTGTATCACTCATGTGGGTACACACAGATTTGCCGGCAGAATTAGTTTTATATTTAACTTGTGAATACAGCTGAAATTGTCAGATTGTTGGGTTAGAACCATGAAAATAATGTTACATTCACAGCTCCTGATTTGGACCAAAGGACTTCCAAACCAAAAATTTGCAGGACATATTCTTGTCTGACTCATCGTGAACGATTATGGGAAATCCATGAAAGGTTCCAGTGCAATGGCCAACAGGCATCAATGAACACACCCGAAGCAAGGAGGTAATGAAACAACAGTAAGTTCGGGCAGCTGAAATCTACAAGCATGTCCATAACATAACAAAAATAGCAAACATGTTTCTGTCTGTCTATGTAGCATTTGTAGAGTGGATGTAACACTGTGTTTTGGCTTGGCTGCCTAACAGCAACCAGCTGCTCATCTTGCCACAAAATGACCACTTCAGATGTTTGGACAGTCATAAATGCAATTTATAGAACAGCTTCGGTGAGTGCAGTATGTTAGCAAGAGGATGAGTCACACAAAAAGGTTGATGTTTTTAGTCATGCTCGCAGGCACAGCTTGAGGGACAGCATTGCTGCTCTGTCATTTGATTCATCACTTTGGTCCAGACTGAAGGATCTCAACAGATCACAACAGACATAGATGAATTTTCCCACTGCCTTACATGAGATGAGATGATCAATTCTATTGTCATACCTTATACCTTATTTCCTCAAATCAATGTAGTAGAGTCAGTATCTGTGAAGGTCAGAGCATCTCAAAACAGTGACAACACTCTCACCTGGTCTGTCACAGTCTACAGGTGGTGCACCAGGTGGAGTCCTGGTTCCTTGTCTCTCCTCTCCCCTGCTGTCCACACACCAGCAATGTCCAGTGGAACCATGGCACTGAAATACATGACAATAAAAACATTTTATTAATAATAAACGCACCATGATTGAGAACCAGAATGATCTATCTCTGTTTGCAGAGAAATAACAGTTTTACCTGTCGAGGTAGGTACTGTCCTTCTGCATCACACTGAGGTACAAAGGCTCCAACTAGAGGATATCCCTCTGGACTGGTGGTCTGTGCGCTGTCTCTGTGCTGTTCACAGTGAGTTTTAGGACGTATCGGTACTGCTGGAAAAAATGAACACATTATTATTATTAATAACACATAGGGGTATTTGACAAATCTGAATGTTTGAGAGTCATTGTGCTTTGCTCTCAGTATTTCACAGACTACCCTATGCTGATAACACTCAACTTTGTTTTCCTTCTTTAGCAGGTGAAATCCTCAGTCTCACCTGGTTTGTCACAGTCTACAGCTGGTGCACCAGGTTGAGTCCTGGTTCCTGGTCTCTCCTGTCCATTGCTGTCCACACACCAGCAATGCCCAATGGAACCATGGCACTGAAATACACAGTTATAATAGTAAGTACAACAGCAGAGTAAAGACATTATGTATCTATATATTAAAAACCTGATTTTACCTGTCGAGGTGTGTACTGTCCTTCTGCATCACACTGAGGTACAAACACACCAGGTACAGGATATCCATCTGGACTGGTGGTGTGTACACTGTCTCTGTGCTGCTCACAGTGAGTTTTGGGACGCTCTGGTTCATCTGAAGGTTTCATTCAAAATAACAGTAAATACGCAGTCTCTCCAGAGTACAATTAACCTCAGTGAGACTGATGATGCTCTGCAGAACTAATGATGGTGTAGCGTCTTTTCACCTAGCTGACATGTAACTAATAAAGTCTCTCTTTACCTGGTCTGTCACAGTCTTTGGGTGCTGTACCAGGTGGAGTCCTGGTTCCTGGTCTCTCTTCTCCCCTGCTGTCCACACACCAACAATGTCCAGTAGAGCCATGGCACTAGTAGAGTAATGATAGATAATTTAAGAATTATGGTTATCAATCATGTCAAGTTACTCAAAGTAATCTTAAAGCTCTGGTAAAACACATTTGCTGACCTGTAATGTTGTGTACTGTCCATTATCATCACACTGAGGTACATAGGCTCCAACTAGAGGATATCCCTCTGGACTGGTGGTCTGTACGCTGTCTCTGTGGTGTTCACAGTGAGTTTTAGGACGTATCGATACTGCTGTAAAAAAATGAACACATTATTATTAATAAAACACAGAGGGGTATTTGACAAATCTGAATGTGTGAGAGTCATTGTGCTTTACTGTCAGTATTTCACAGACTACCCTATGCTGTTAACTTATCTCTGTTGTCCTTCTTTAGCAGGTTAAATCCTCAGTCTCACCTGGTTTGTCACAGTCTACAGCTGGTGCACCAGGTGGAGTCCTGGTTCCTGGTCTCTCTTCTCCCCTACTGTCCACACACCAACAATGTCCAGTAGAGCCATGGCACTGATAGAATAATGAAAGATAATGTAAGAATTGTTATCATTCATGTCAAGTTACTCAAAGTAATCTTAAAGCACTGGTAAAACACATTTGCTGACCTGTAATGGTGTGTACTGTCCATTATCATCACAAGTAGGTACATAGGCTCCAACTATAGGATATCCCTCTGGACTGGTGGTCTGTACGCTGTCTCTGTGGTGCTCACAGTGAGTTCTGGCGCGCTCTGGTTCATCTACATAAAGATGACAAGTTTTCATAATCATTAGGAAATATTGGTATTACTATCACAACAGACATGGGTTATTGTGCTTTGTCACAAACATTTTGCTGTTCATAAGCTACAATATTTAACACAGACTGGTATCACCAGGAGCCCTAAGTCCCTGTTCTCTTATACACTGTAAAGGTTTCCATTTGTAAAGGCTTTTAACAAGTTTCAGACATAAAGTCTCCCCTCGACTGGTTGCACTTATTGAGTGTACCACATGGTTCAGTACTAAGCCCACTACTATTCCTCTCAGCAGTAGATCCTCTGGTGGCACAGCTCACAACCTTCCTACTGTTGCTCTGTTCTACTCATATCCTGCATGGACTACTATAAATCCCTTCTGCCCAGTGTTTTCTCTTCACTCCTTATAATTCAGGTTTTGCTTTACACATCTGAGATGGTTTATGTTCATCAGCATTTTAGCAACAAAGTATTTGGCAGATAGAAACAGCAGTCTCACCTGGTCTGTCACAGTCTACAGGTGGTGCACCAGGTTGAGTCCTGGTTCCTGGTCTCTCCTGTCCATTGCTGTCCACACACCAGCAATGCCCAATGGAACCATGGCACTGAAATACACAGTTATAATAGTAAGTACAACAGCAGAGTAAAGACATTATGTATCTATATATTAAAAACCTGATTTTACCTGTCGAGGTGTGTACTGTCCTTCTGCATCACACTGAGGTACAAACACACCAGGTACAGGATATCCATCTGGACTGGTGGTGTGTACACTGTCTCTGTGCTGCTCACAGTGAGTTTTGGGACGCTCTGGTTCATCTGAAGGTTTCATTCAAAATAACAGTAAATACGCAGTCTCTCCAGAGTACAATTAACCTCAGTGAGACTGATGATGCTCTGCAGAACTAATGATGGTGTAGCGTCTTTTCACCTAGCTGACATGTAACTAATAAAGTCTCTCTTTACCTGGTCTGTCACAGTCTTTGGGTGCTGTACCAGGTGGAGTCCTGGTTCCTGGTCTCTCTTCTCCCCTGCTGTCCACACACCAGCAATATCCAGAGGAAATGTGGCACTGGAGCAGTAACATTTCATAGAAAAATAGTGGTTATATTTGAATTCATGTTACCCAGTGTTAGTTAAAATTGTTTTGGTAAATTCATTTTAATACATCTATCTAACCTGTAGTGGTGTGTACTGTCCATTAGCGTCACACTGAGGCACATAGGCTCCAACTAGAGGATATCCCTCTGGACTGGTGGTCTGTATGCTGTCTCTGTGCTGTTCACAGTGAGTTTTAGGAGGTGCTGGTTCATCTGGATAAGAAAGATGGGCAATACTGGGACCATATACGTACAAACTCCTATCATTCCCAAACTGATTGGCTGGTATTTAAATACACTGAGTGACACTAGACAACAACTGCACTTAAGTTATTTGTGTTTCCTGCTGCTGTAAAAAGTTATTTTTCACAGGTAACATCTATTACTAATATAGACTAAATTTATTTAACCCCTCATCATGGCCCCATGTTTAAGATATGCAGTTGAGAGAAAATTTTAAGTTAATTATGAACAACAATGATGAAACATACAGTACATGTCACAGTTCAAACAACATCATAAAATCATTCCAGCCAGTGTCCAGCTACATCAAGTTCATATGATAAAGAATAAAATATATTCAACTTTCCATCACACACAGTCCCAAAACATCACCTGTTTTTCAAGGCATTCCAGGGCTATGACCCAGTGACCTCAATTGCACACCATTTACAAGATTAGACACACACTCACATAAAGATGGAGTTTGACCTGTCACTGAGTGGTTTAGCAGATCAGTGTTTAGTAGAAAAGCCTTGATGAAAGAAAAGACATGATGTCTACTGACACTGATGCTGCTACCACAGATGTCAAAACAGTTTTATGTACTCATGTAGAGCCGAATACAGGGTCTGTCTATTCATGTATATTTTTTTCTCTCACCTGGTCTGCCACAGTTTTTAGGTGGTGAACCAGGTGAAGTCCTGGTTCCTGCTCTCTCCTGTCCCTGACTGTCCACACACCAACAATATCCAGTGGAACTATGACACTACAAAAACATACATTTGATTAATTTCATACTATTAGAGTTGTCTTAATTTATTTGTTTTAATACATTAAATTCAAAAACAGCTGTCCATCTGTCTGTCAATCAGTCCATGAATGATCAGCTTCTGACCTGTAGTGGTGTGTACTGTCCATCATTGTCACACTGAGGTACATAGGCTCCAACTATAGGATATCCGTCTGGACTGGTGGTCTGTATGCTGTCTCTGTGGTGTTCACAGTGAGTTTTAGGGTGTATTGGTATATCTGAGGAGACAAAGTGGAGCAAAATATAAAAACATTTCAAGATACAATCTACTCTCATCCTTTTATTAAAAAGCATCTTCTGGGATGAGAGTTAATACCTGGTCTGTCACAGTCTTTGGGTGCTGTACCAGGTGGAGTCCTGGTTCCTACTCTCTCCTGTCCCCTATTGTCCACACACCAACAATGTCCAGTGGAGCTGTGGCACTGGCATGAAATATGAAAGAATTACCTAATTCAGTACATCATTTAACTCAAGTTATGAGTCAGCCATGCATGTCACCATTCTGTCAGGCAGCGCCCACCTGCAGCGGTCGGTACCGTCCATCAGGATCGCACTGAGGGATGAAGGCTCCGAGACTCGGCCGTCCGCTAAGGTGCACTCCACTCTGCAGACTGTCTCTGTGCAGCTCACACTGGCTCTTAGGTCGAACTGTTTGTCCTGTAGAACAATCACAATTTTCCCTAACATGTCTTTGGTTCATTTTGAATATGTATTGCTATTTATGCAACTATTAGTTATTTTTTAAATGTGTCTGTACTCCTATCAAAAAACTTTCTGATCCTATCTTTAGAGTTTTTACAGGAAAAATGATCACTAATAATGGGGAGAGTGCAGAATATGCCATAAAAAGTGAATGAAATGAACTGGAAATAATGACCCCTACCTGTACCAAACATAATAGGATTATGATAATTACAATGCCACACTATACTGGCAATCTGACTGACCTTCCTGTCGGGTACAATAGAAGCCATCACCATAAAACCCAGGCTGGCACCGACACTGGAAGGATCCCAGTCCGTTGATACATCTGGCGTTGATGTGACATGGAGAGGAGCTGCACTCATCTATATCTAAAAAAACAAAAGGTGAGAAATAAATCAGCAGCCACAAATGTAGAAAGGCATGCTCAAATTATAGAAATGTATGCTGATATATAAAAACATATCTGGCTGCTAGTCAGTGGTACCTTTCAATATTTAGATACAGTGTCTATAAAAAGTATTCACCCCTTTCGATGTTTCACCCTTTTATTGATTTTATAAATCAGTCATGGTCAATATAATTTGGCTTTTTTGATAAAAGAAAAATACAAAAAAAACCCTATTTAATGTTAAAGTGAAAACAGGTTTATACAAAGTAATGTCAATTAAATAAAAATATGTAATGGGAAATAAGTGATTGCACAAATATTCACCCCCTTCAAAATGACCGACCTAATTCAGAGGTCCAGCCAACTGGACCACCAGAGTATGTCTCAAGGTTATTGAAAAATCTAAGTCAGGGGATGGATACAAAAACATTTCCAAGACACAGAACATCCCTGGAGTTCAGTTAAACTCATCATCAAGAAATGGAAGGAATATGGCACATGTCTAAATCTGCCTAGATCAGGCCGTCCTCACAAACTGAGTGACCATGCAAGAAGGGGACTAGTGAGAGAGGCCACCAAGACACCTAGGACTACTCTGAAGGAGTTACAAGCTTCAGCAGCTGAGATGGGAGTTCGGGTTCTTCACCAGTCAAAGCTTTATGGGAGAGTGGCAAGGAGAAAGTCACTGTTGAAGAAAACTCCTTAAATCTCGACTAGAGTTCACCAGAAGGCATGTGGGAGATTCCATGGTCATGTGGAAGAAAGTTCTTTAGTGTGATGAGACCAACATGGTGCTTTTTGGCCATCAGACAAGATGCTATGTTTGACAGACACCAGACGCTGCACATCACCACAAACACACCATCCCCACCATGAAGCACACTGGTGGCAGCATCACGCTGTGGGGATGCTTCTCGGCAGCCGGCCCTGGAAGGCTTGTAAAGGTAGAGGGTAACATGAATGTGGGAAAATATAGGAAAATCCTGGAGGACACTCTTATTTAGTCTGCAAGAGAAGTACGGCTTGGGAGAAGATTTATTTTCCAGCAAGACAATGACCTGAAGCATACAGCGAAAGCTACACAGAAATGGTTTAAAGACAAGGTGAGTGTTGTGGAGTGGCCGAGTCAAAGCCCAGACCTCAATCCAATAGAGAATTTGTGGCTGAACTTAAAGGGCTGTTCACGCCTGATCCCCACGCAACCTGGCAGAGCTTGAACAGTTTTGTGAAGAAGAATGGAGTAAAATTGCAGTGTCCAGCGGTTCAAGCCTGACTGAGACCTATCCACACAGACTCAGTGCTGTGACTGCAGCCAGAGGTGCATCTACTAAATACTGACTGGAAGGGGGGGAATATTTATGAAGTCACTTATTTGACATTACATATTTTTATTTAATTGACATTACTTTGTACAAACCTGTTTTCACTTTTTTGTATTTTTTTTTTGTCAAAAAAGCCAAATTATATTAAACATGGCCGATTTATAAAATGTATAAAAGGGTGAAACATCCAAGGGGGTGAATACATTTTATAGGCACTTTAATTTCAAGGCCTCATGTAAAATATTATATTATTTGTCAAGGTAGGGAGGGTTTAAAGAAAGTTCAGCAAGTTTACAATGATGGGTCAAAGGAGGACACACACACACCAGCAGGACCTCTCTCCTCCACACATTCCAGAGCAAACACACACATTGTGTCTTTGCTCCATTTGTCTTTCACTCTCACTCCCTCTATCTAATCTTACTGCCTCATTCTCACATTACTCGTCTCTTTCCACCTCTTGTTCTCACATTTCTCACCCATCCTCCCATCTTGCAGTGTTAATCTAACTTTTGCAGCTGTGTGTTACTATTGTGAAAAGAAAAAAAAAAGCATTCCTGTACTCGGACAAAGATGTGGATCCCTTCCAAATATTCACAACATGCAGGACTAAAAACATCTCTTAAGCGAGCAACATATGGAACTGGAAACCGACACATTAAACTGCAACACGAGAACCTGAGAAAGAACAGAGAATGACACCTCTGCTACTGTAATAAAGTATGTTTACAGAGACCACATTCTAATTTGCACATGAAAAGCATTACATTTACCATAATGTCATGCTGTCTGATTCAGTGGCTTTAGCTGATGTTGATCTGAAGTTAAGCATTTAATATTAGTGGGTTTGGTTGAAATCTTTGTTAATGTCGATTTTCAGTGAAATGATGAAGTGTCATGAAGATCAGCACAAAGAGAAACCACTACAGAAGCATGAGTCATGTTGCAGAAATGGGTTGAAACAATTTAAACAGACGTTAACACATGGGGTTAAGGGGAACTCTCTAGTGCTAAACAGTTGCCCCACTGAAAAGGCACAGTACATTTCAGTCATGGAAAACTTACCAACACAGGTACGTCCATCATAGCCAAACTCATAGCCGCTCTGGCACTGGCAACGATGGCTACCAGGCAGGTTCACACACTGAGCATGAGCACCACATGACGTCAACCCCTCAGCACACTCATCTATGTCTGCAGTGAGAGAGACAGAGAAAGTGAGACCGTTTCTCTAAAAACTCACAAGCCTGTAAACCAGGAATCCTTTGTATAACAACATGCAGTGTGCTGTATGTGTATCTGAATGTAAACGCTGTAATCAAGGGTCATTACTGGTGCTTTTAGTGCATATACATTGTGTGCTCACTTTTTTGTGTTACATGCACCCCCACAACTGAATTCTGGACTGCAGTCATATATGTACCGGGCAGGACAACACCCCACACAGATTATGTGGCCAGAGAGAAACATTGAGGCCCATTTATGGGAACTGGGGGGTTTCCCAGAGCTGTCAGTAAGAGAAAAAGGACCTGCTGCTGGGCTAATGACAGGCCACACTCCAGCTTAAAGCCCTGAAAGTCCCTGTTAACTAGAGAATTAACCTGGAAGAGATGCAGGGAGAGGCAGGATGGGATGTGAAGAGAAGAGAGACAGATGATTTCTTTCACCCAGATTGTACTCAACCCCTATACATTGTGTGGACGTGTTGATGAAACACAGACACTCTGGCTTCAATGTTGTCTGCATGTGTTTGTGTGTAGAAGTGTGAAGGCGGGAGACACTATTAGACTAAGCAAAGTGGAGCAAAACACCATAAAGCACTTTGCAAAATATCTACACTGTCATGATGCTGCACAGTATGTCCAATGACTCCTTTAACAGTCCACATGCATGCCCATATAAAGTGTTGACAGACAAAGATACCATAACAGTTGCGTCCATCCCCTCTGTAACCAGTAGCACACTGGCACTGGAAGGCCTGGTCCTCTAATGGGATACACTGGGCCGTGGTGTCACAGTTATGGTTCCCAGAGTAGCAGGGGTTCACCAGCCCCTGCCCCGCTGCAGCGAGGATTAAATGACAAGGATGAAAGAGACCAATTTTTAAAAAACTGCTTAATTTCTATCATTGTATTCTTTTTGTAAAGCACTTTGCAGTTGTGGCTGAAATATTCACATTTCTTACTTAAGTAAAACATAAATCCAAGAGTTGTACACAGTAAAATATGACATCAGTAAAAGTCCTGTATTAAAAATGGATTGAAGTAAATGTACTCAAACTACCAGACATATTCACAAAATAGCCTCTATGAGTGACATGCTGTTATTATTAGATTGTTAATACAAATGGATCAATACTGTGTTTAGTCCAGTGGCAACTCACATAAATTTGTGTTCAGTGTTTGGGGGTTCTAAACCTTTTCTTATAAATGTTGTATTAGTCACTGTTTGATGGAACTGCAAATAATTTACAGACATCTGAAATGTCACAAGGAGCCTCAAAACAGTTTTTTGTAAGAGGTCACAAGCCAGTATGACTGAAAACCACTGGTTTAATCATTAACAGTGTTGTGTGTTTTCAGCTTCTTATATTTATTTTTCAATGTGAATCATAATCTCACCCCCGAAATAACATTAGTGAAGTATCTGTCTGTGCAGCCAGAGAGACACATGACAACTGCACAGTCTACAACACTCAAAACTCCTAAATGAAGATCTGTAAGATGTAAGATCTGTATTATCCAACAATCAAAGTCCAATGACTACAGCCAAACCAAACACACATGTAAAATCACTCCGGGCAAAGTCCCATAGGACTTTTAGGAAGTGACTCCCTTTGTGTTCACAATTTTCAACATATGGACAAGGTCAGACACACATGTACATGAGAGACACATAGACAGAGGGATGAGTGAGCAGATGTGTGTTTAGAGTTTCCTCATACTAACATGTGGCTTAGGCAAACAAGTCAATTTAAACAACCACCCTCAGACTAATTTCTTGAAAATCTGGAAGAAAAACAGCAGCAGAGTAAAGCAAACCATGGGAAATCATTAGGGAAGAAGGAGAGAGAAATATGTTTAGAATTACATGACGCAAAGTGCTACTCGGCTTGAAAATGTTCCTGAGAGCAAACACCAGGATGTGTGGCACAGCCTTTCTCTGCCAACTGAATCGGACCCACTGCAACACTACAATGCTGCTAACTGGTTTCAAGCGTTATTTTAACAGCACTTATCTAACAACTTGTCTGTGGGTTCTGGATTTAGTCCCATGGATGAAATAATGCTCTATAACAGTATAGATGTATTTCCATTTAAGGAAGAAGCTGCACTGCTTTTATTGGTTTGGAGTCCAGTTAGTCATAATCTCTGTTTAATGATGTTTAACTGTATTACAATCGGACTTCTTCCTTACCATCAGGGGTCATCATACACTCTAAACAACAACAACAACAATACACATTCAGTACACTGAACCAAAATCAAAAACACACGCACAGCTTGCTTCTATCTCCTGAGGTCAGAGACCAATTTTAACTCATTAACAAAGAGAGAGAGAGAGACAGAGAGAGAGAGACTCTTCAAAGTCCTGAATGTGGTCAAGAAAAAGGAGAGATGAGAATGAGAGATACACAAAGATGGGAGAAAAGACTGAGGAATAATTAGAGAGAAACAGAAGGAGAGTGGGAGAACACACACACATGCACAAAACTCCAAAGTGATGACTGCTGTTTCCCACCTGTTGCTTTTTTATGACACACACACACACACACACACACACACCACACTGGGGAATAGCAGTAACAGCAACAAGATGGCAAAGGTACACTGACTATCCAGCAAACCACCATCAGTACAACTTAATAAAACCATCTATTACCACTGACTTTTACTTACTTACTGTCCCTCAGCTTTATAGAAGTGCAATGCTAATTAGTCAAAGTGCTCCTTTAAAATCCTATGAGACAGGATTTTACAATTTGGAAGGTTGTACTAGTGGCTCTCATGCTATCCTCTGTTGCAACAAGTGCTGAAACAATTGATTAGTGGATTGACACACTGTGTAGCATCATATGGAAACAGCTGAGGCACAGTTGTGTTGTTCTGTTGGACCACTGCTGTGTCTGTGGTCTCACTAAAATGAATGACTGAGCTGTGGTTGCCATGTTCAGATGAACCCGACCCCTGCCTTAACAAAGCATAGTCCTCTCTGTCTTTGGAACACAGCCAGTACATTAGCACAGCAGGGACACTAAGGAAGGGCGCTGTTGTAAAACAATGCAGTCCAGAAAAAGTTGAACTCAGCTCAACTTTTGCTGCAAAGCAGTCAGGTGTCATCCTGCAAAACATTGCACAGACCAGGCAAATGCGTGCAAGTGCAGATTCCTGCTAAATTCCTTTGTAACATGAATACTCTATTTCTGTCGTGTACCTCACAGTTGTCAAGATTAAAGATAAAATAGTTGACACATGTAAACTGTGGGTGTTACAATCTGGTCGTGCAGTGTTTTGGTGTCTGATCATACTCAAACTGGACACTCTGAACACCAGTGACAAGTGTTGATATTAGGCTTAAGGCTGTCCAGATATTTTGTAGATAAAAGCAAAGTCTGGTTCAAAAAAGGAACTGAACCACAGATAAGTGCAGTAATAATATATTCACATTAACCAAGTGAAACAAGCTATACCACACTGTGCTTCCCTTTTAAAGGCCGAGTGTCTGTATACTGTTGTCTATTTAATTATATACAGTATAAGTGCTACTTCCTCCATGATTTTAACTGCAAACAATAAAAGAAGTTTGTAAAATTAAAACCAACAAGACTACATGAAACTTTAATTCTTTCCAAGTGGAAATAAGGTGACTGCAACGGCAAACAACACAGGTCTGGTAAATTTACTCTCTCTCTCCCTCTGACTTTCTCTCCCTCTGTGTCCCTCACCCCCTCTCACTTTCTGTCTCTCTGTTTGATGTCTTAAGTTTTGCTTCTCATGACATCAGTGGGCAGCTATTCTATGCAGCAAACCCCCCACAAGAAAATCTGTCATTGGCTGGGATATTATTTTCCAGAAAGTGTGAGACCCCTGAACACACACATACACACACACCCGACTTAACCCATGTTTACAAAACCCATTACCCCCAAAAGCTCTTCCAGCTGTGCCCTGGGAGCATCAGTGTGTGTGTGTCTGCCCAAGTGTGAGATGTGTCATAACCTTTTTAATCAACATGTTGATATGTGATATTTAAATGACAAAAACCTGGTCTGGATTCAAAACCTGGGGAATAGAAAAGGAAACATTCAACACATCTGTCAGCCATATACGTACTTCCATACACAAACACAAACACAAACACAAACACAAACACAAACACAATCACAGTTTGTGATTCATTTGTCATGACAGGGTGTAAATAGGTTCAGC